ATAGACTCAATTTTTAAATTGAGCTAAAATTAAATCGAATAGGCTCTTAACTTATATGGGAAATATTCGGGCTTCGGTCCGCTTAAATAAAATTTCTGATTATTTTTAAGGCTCGGTCTTAAAAGTAGAGCCGACAGTTGAGCTAAATAAATCCAATTTTAATAATTAAAAATCGAATAAATTCTCGATGACTTAGACTTTAAACTAATTACTCGATTTAATGCAAATAATAATGATAAATGCATCAAATTAAAAAACTTAATATTTATTGAAATAAAGTCGAGCTACATAAATAGTAAATAATATTTTGAGTGTTGCATTACATGCCTAGGCAGTTACACAGATAAATTGTGTGGGACTTTGAGAACAATTAAAATTGAATGGTTTGAGCAAAGATGTATGTCAGATTCACTTGAAATAATAATTTGCAAATAGTGAGGGCAATGAGAAATTTCCCCAAATGGTTTGAGCAAAGATGTATGTGATGATTCACATGAAAATGATAATTTGTAAATAGTGAGGGCAATGGAAAATTTCCCCAAGCACTACTAATATAAAAGAACAATAACATTAGTAATTCTCATGATACTGGGAATACATTAGATCAACAGAACTGCACCCTTTTAAGATCCAACATCAGCATATTGAATGATTTTCAAACTCAGAAGAATGGAAAAGGAGAAAAGCCAGTTAAACCAAATGTAAATGAGAATACTCTTTATCAGTAATTTCGACAAAATTCTAGTTCGTAGTTATATATGAAATAGTAGCTTCAACATTAATATGAAAGAAGTATGAAAAAACGCGTTCTTAAGAACCTTAACCCCACCTCAACATTAACACCATACATACTTGTTTCGAGAATTACAAGCCATATCATCAGCCAACATAAGAATAATTCTCTCATCAGGTATCCCTAGTCGCTCAACGGTTCTATAAACAAAAGCATAAGAAAGAATGAAAAATCATAGTAACATTTTATTCTCTGAGCAGCCAACAATTCATTAAAGACATAAATAGTGAATCGCAAAAATATCGCAGTTTTTTTACCTGTACAAGGATAAAGTATTAGCCATGTGGCAAATTAAGCATATTGAAATGATGCAAGAAAGTAAGTTATAATACATCCCAATCACATAAGAACTAATACCTGCATTTTTCATCACTCTGAGGAGCATATGAAGCCTGGCCATTTGTATTTTAGCCTTTAGGTCATCGAATCCCATCCCAGCAGAAAGGTTGATTGATGGAGTGACATTAAACCAACATTAACAATTTAGTACAAATTAAATTACACAACACACTCAAAATCACTCACACACACGCACAAACACCAAATAACACATAATCTATGTAAATTGATATCTTTAACAGATCCAAAAATTCCCAAAGCTGATGAAAA